ATTATTATTATTATTGCTATTATATCAAGCTCTTCTGGATCCTACATTAAAATGTATGAAAACCAAACGCCTAAGTAGAAAATTTATTTTTCTTATAAATTTATAACAAAATATTTTTATGTACAGAAATTTTTTTGTTCTGTGAATGCAGTTACTTAATATTGTACTAATGTAAGTGTGAATAAAATAGAGCTTTTTGTATGATACTCTGTTTATATTATTTTCTGTTCCATCCAAGCATATGTTTTGAATAACTTGTGCTATTCGACAAATGTCTATGCAAGCAGTGAGTTTAAAGGGTGAGAAACGGGTTTAATAAGGCTTTCGTTTCACGTAGGCCTTTTGCTTGTCAGCTTCCTGCCGCTGCAACCTGTGATAAGGAATTTCGTTCCAAAATGAAAAAAATGTTACTACATTTAACAAGAGCTAACAAAAAAAACAATCAAACGCGAATTTCACATTTAAGACATTTACCCCTTACACTATGCGTAAATAATGGAAACAACCTTAAGTTGTCAGTAAATAAAGTGGATGAAGAATAAAACACGCATCACCTTCAACATATGGCGGCCTATCAGAGAGGTTATATGTTCCCCTTCCCCCAACCAAGCGAACCACCATTATAATTGGAGACACTCCACCTAAGCTAATGGAGACTTATAAGCAGCGTCATCTCTATTTTAAGTAGTGATTTACTTAATAACATAGTATAATTACAATTCCATACAGAACTTGGGACAGTTTAAAAAGATTGTGATAAATGGTATATTAGTACTAACCGGATTTAAATCATATTTTATATATCTTCATAATATCCGTCTTAAGGCAAACTAGGTTGATATAGTAGCAAATGAAGTTATTTGATCTTTAATACGGGAGTCGTTTCCGGGACAAGTATTGTTAATACGGAAAACCATTCTCTTACTAGAAATGACTACTAACTTCTCAAAAACTAGTGATGTCATTAATCGTTTTTAATTCCTGCCAAATGCATTTTAATGAAATAACCTGTTCCATTGCGGACAACGTGAATGTTTTACGCCTTATAACATTATACATACATATTAACTTGCATTTGTCTGTCATGTTTTCCACCGCCGCAAAAGCAATCGCTTAAGTTTAATAATAGCCATGCTGGTTATTAAATTGCAATTAAACCGTAAAATTAAAAAAGAAAATAGTAAAAATTCTAGGTTAATGTATCACCCTAAAATATGTTATATTTACGAACGCAATGTTCCACTAAAAAATATTTAATTATTTATTAAGTAATCTGATAAATTCTATTACGAAGATTGCATGCAAACTTGTCTTATTGTTTTTGTTTATTGTATGACTTTCATTTCTTTTAATATTTCTTATAATTATTATTGCAGATTGTCTCCGATGAAACCTCGTCCGAATCGTCTGGAAAAGGACAAAATTCTGCTACAGAAGTATCCACCGATTCTGAATTTGCTTTGGATGATCCCACACCTACACGTGAGCGCCCACCAATAAGTTTCAGTGAAGTCAAACATAAAAAGCGATGGGCTACTCATCACGTCCCACCGAAAAAAGTACAGGTTAAGTCTGGCATGTTACAAATTCCTGTAAACGGTAGTAAAACGAAAGTGCACGAGAAAAACCGAGGCATCGAACTGGAATTCACACCTCTTGTACCTTCACCAGTGTTACCGAAACCACCTGCACAGTCACTGTTTCCTAGGTCGGAGGGTTACGCTCTCAATCGCACTCAAAGCACCGGCGGTATAGCAACTAAAGTTAGTTTGGAACTAAAAAAGAAGTATTTGCTTGGTGACAATGGTGGTCCCGGAACTATTCAGAAGTCTGGAAGTGTTTCCGCTCTTGACTCAAAACTGAAATCATTTCATAGCAATATTTCCGATTGCCAGAAGTTACTGAAACCTGCCTTGGAAGTTAGTTCTAGCATGCAAATTTTCTGTAACAAAATGGAAGAAAGAAAATCACCTTTATCTCCAATTTTTTCACAGTCAAGTCCAATGAATGAAAATGGAAAATCTAAGCCTCCAGATTTAGTAGATCTCACTCTTTCTTTGACAGAGAAAACAACTTTAGAAACAGATTTAGTCAAAAACACACCCTGCTTAACAATGCAACCAGATATAACAAAATGTACCGAAAGAGAACAAAAGGCTACAAATGAAGAACCAAAAATAGCATTTGAACATGAACTCGAAGGTCGACCACGTAGTCCTGTGAAAGACATACCAATAATTGTTCCTCAAATTGATTGGACAAAAAAGAAACGTAATATGAAATTTGGTGATGATATATACGTTGATAGCTTAACATCCGAAAGTGAAAACGAGAGGAACCGTGGTAACAAGACTATTAATATTCCTCGACTTGAGATACATGATGATTTTGGAAAAGTTCTTCCAAACAATGAAGAAGAAATAGCTCAAGACAGCTTATGCGTTGTAGAAGACAAAGATAAAGCCAATGTAGAAGAATCTGTTCCCGAAATGAAATCTAAAAAATTGTTGAATCAACCAAAAACCTTACCGGATTTAGGTACAAATATTCTTTCACAATTTCATAGTGAATCTCATGAAAAAAAATATTCCCCAGTTTGTAGCACTCCTTCTGAGCATGATTCTTTAATTGAACAAATAACTGCAGCTATGACCGAAACCGAGTTGTCAGATTGGGCGCGAGATGGAGTAGTTTCTGACGATTTGGAAGACGATTTCGATTTCAATTCAAGTTGTAAAATGCCTAACCACATCACTACCAGAAAAACTATTAAAAACGAGATAGGCTCCAAAACCAATAAAAATGAACATCAGGAAGCATTCTTTGATAGTTTGAAAAATATTCATAATTCCGACTCCGGCAGTATCGAATTCATGGACAATGGAGTCGAAAGTAGTAGCGATGAACGTGAATTATATGAAACTAGACATAAAAATAACGGTTATATTCATTTGCAAGAAGAAGACGATATAGTACAAGACAGTCTCAATATTTACGAAAGTCTTCCAAAAAAAATTATCGAATCTAAAAATCATCATGTTGTTCAATCGTTAGATTACAATTGTTTATCAACAACAGATAATAATACAGGGTATTGCTTCTTTGGAAACGAGGACTCCCATAAAGAAACAACGGATACTAAAGTACCTGAAAAGAAATCAATGTGTGAAAATATCGACAACTTAGTTGTAACCGAACAAACAACAACGGATGAAAACAGCATTAGTAATTCCACTATTAAAAATATAACCGAAAAGGAATATAGTTTACACGACAAGGAATATCTTTTTCCAACTAAAAGTGTTAAACAAATCACGTCGAATGAAAAGTTACAAGAAATGAATATAGAAGTATTTCCCAAGGAAAGTTTACGTAATGATGTTATCGAATTAGAAGAAATAGCAATGGATAAAAAATGTAAAAATTCGATTCAAGTGGATGAAAAGGAAGCATCAATTGACGTTTTCATACAAAATTTGAATGATGAAGAATATCAGGAACACTGCCAACGTCTACAATCGAAAATAGGTTTTGGAAATGTACGCGATTCCATTGATATTCGCAAATCAAAACGCAAGGAAAAAAGTGATTCAATTCCTCAGCAAACGTCGATTGCGGAAGAGAAATTAAAAGAAGAGGTCACTCCCCTTCCATTCACCTCCCGTTTAAAAATGCCCGGAGCACTCTATAGTAAAGAAGAAATTAAAAAAGAAAGAGACGAAAATCAAAAGTTAATCCAAGAAATGGTTCTTAACAAAATGAAAGCTCAAAATAAGTCACTAGAAAGAAAAAAGCGAAATAAAACGTCTTTGAATCCTTTTCAGTTATGCAAATCTGCCACCATCGATATTGTTTGCCCCAGAAAAGAATCAAAAAATTCATGCAATACTCCTGATGTGCTTCTTTCAACCGTAGCCGATACCAAGAATGGACTGAATGAAAATAATCAAAAACTTGATCTTCACTCAAAAACCCCTCAAAAAAGTCAAGAAATTTTAAAAGAGGTTCAAAAAACAGCCGAGAAAATGAAGCATGATGCTAAACACAGAGCACAACTTAAATCTGACAAGGACTTTGGACTTAGTCCCGAAGATAAACTTCAAAAACTTCGCCAAAAATACTTTTCGGACAAAGAAGCTCTGCAAGTTGAACGACCTACTTCATTACTTTATACCAATGATACATTGAAAAAGAAAAAAAATAATTCCAAGGAGAAAATGGCGAGAACTAAATCAGTTTCAGAAATATCACGACCTTTAACTATGTGCAAATCTTTTGACATAATAGCCGATGAAAAATGTGTGGGAATATGTAGATCAGATCCAAATCTACTTCACGAAACTACAAAGAAAACTAAAAAGAAATCGAATAATTTGGAGAATCGAAAAAGTATTACAAAACTAATTTCTGACTTTTTTAACAAGAAAAAGGACGAAGTTGGATCGCCGAATAGTTCCAAAAGTTTTTTGTCGAGGATTTCTTCCAGAACGAAAGATAAATCGAAGGTACTTTGATTAAGTGAATTTTACAATAGAGCCTGAGATTCCTACAGATTCGTAAAGTTGTAGAAATTTAATCTGACAATTTTGTTCTTCAAAACGATTCAGTCCGTTAATAATTTTATTAAAGGAGGTAGCCAGTCACACGCCAAAAAAGAAATTCATATTAGTTTACTAATTAAATAAACCCTAGAGTATTTTACAAGTAATTCTTGTATGTGCTGTATATATTTAATTAATTTTTCGAAAACATCTATAAGAATTTCGGTTAAATTCTCAGGGTAAAAGTGTTTTAAACCAAAAAATCTATTTAGCAAGACCCCACTTTCAGGAAAATTAGGAAAAGTTGCTTTCATACAGTTGTAATAGAAAGAATGAAGATTGGTAACATTATTCATGATGCATATCGTACACGTATAGTAAAATTAGGTATTTGATAAAAGACGGAGGCTTTTAGAACATGATTTGGCAAACTGTAGAACATCCTAATAAGTGACGAAATTTTACATTATTGACATATCCAGAAATTGCGTGTAGGTAGGCATTTTACAAAACGAGAAAGGGCACGTAACGTTTATTACAATTGACGTAAGTTTTACATAAATAATTTCAAGAATATATTATATCCATCTAATACAGCCGTTGCTCTCTCTCCGCCGCTGCCAGCCTTTCTCTCCCTCTGCCGCTGCCGCCTCTTAGCACACGATAAACCGTCTACCCCCTCTACGCGGCCGTAACGCTTTCTCGTGACAGAAAAATCGTAATATCCCATCTATATAGAAGTTTCACTTCAATAAAAAGATTTTTTTATGAGGTTCCAGACAAAAATCGCTTCAAAATTTTTTTGTAATGTGTTAGTTTGTGGTGCAGCATTATGTACAGTAAGTCTAAACACGTCATATGCGTTTTATAAAATACTTAGGCACACGACAGAATATCTGAATATGTCAAGTCATAATGTAAAATTTTGCTGCTTATTTCAACGTTTTACAATTTACCAATTCTTTTTCAAAAACCTCGCTGTTTTGTAAAATACATAATTTAGCTAAATGCTTACGACACAGATTACTCGAAGAAAGCTAGGTCAACCATATATATATCAGATTAATTAATCTATGCGTGCTACTCAAACAAATAACGTGGTAGTAAATTGTAATGCACGGTTGTATAATAGGTTCCCTCCTTTATGTCCTTTCATTTTATATCTAATACTATTATAGTGTAAGTACGTAATTTAAATATTACATTAACGAATAGGCAAATAACATGAATATCAGTTGCAGATATTTTACAAATGATCGTTTTGAAATATTATCATTATAAAAAATATCACAAAAATTCAATTTATTTTGAACGTTACATCTGTTAAAATTATATAATAAAAAGTGAATCAATTATTCATATAATTTAACAATTTAATAATATTACAACAACAGTATACTGTTGCATGACCAAAACAATGAATCTGTATAGTATTTCAGTTTTCTTTTGAAAATACTACTAATTCTTTTTATATTTTTTTCAGTCATTATCATATTTGAACCGAAGACATACTGCTGTAAGATGATTTTTGTTTCTCCGTGTTAGTTGTTTGCTAACTGTTCGGTGTTATATGCATGTTTTGTTAATTTTACATTTTGTTTTCTGCATGTTTTTTTTTAAGATTTACAATTCGCTTGTGTGACACTTCTTGTACACCTTTCCAAAAATCATGAGTAGATCGTTGGTACAATGTAGGAGACTTGAATTTTGCCTTCGGACAAATTCCAATCTAAATGAAAAGAAATCACATTGTAATGTATGAAAGAAGATAAATATTTGGAGATTTTGCAATAAACAACATTCGTGCCTTAAAACAAAAGTATAATTTATATAAAGTACATTCTCGCGTTTTTCATATGCCTTTGGAGAAACAATAATTATTTGGTTTACCTGAATAACCTTATTTATTTAAATTCAACTTTTCTTTCAAAACTTTTTTTCGCTACCTTACTCATTTTTTTTTAATACTCATCAAATTTATCAACTTCTTCCAGACATCGCAATCTGAATGTTTTAATTTGTATCACATCTGTCCTTCGGGATAATGATACATCTTTCTCATACACGTTGAAAATTTATTTTTTGCTTTCCATGTAATTTAGTAGGTACAGCCAATAGAAACATTTTTAATCTGCTATCTAATACGGAATAGAAGCATGATTCAGAAAACTGTGAAATTTTTGGTTTCATCTATGTTGCTATTTTATTTATGCTTAATTAATTACGTAAATAATTACTGTAAGTGTTAATCACTAGTAAAAATTATTTATAAATATTAAACTATAATTTTTATTTGTTAATTTAAACAGGAAAAAATCTATAACGAACCAGTGAGAAGTAAGAGTTATTCAGATGTGATGAATTCTAGAAACGATCCATCCCCACCTCCAATTCCTCCATTGCCTGTAAATTATACAGGATGTCGAACAGGTAATATATTTAATAGTATTTAATGTTTCAACTACAGATTATCCTTTTCTATTGATATTAGACGAAAGCTCGGACGGGGAATTCGATCATCGAGAGTTAACTCGGAATTCTTTTGATACTTTATACCAATCCATTGGAGCTAGGCGTAGCATTCGTAATCGAAGAGCATCAAAGCAAACTCAACTCAAACGGTAAGTTTGCATGTTTGCTTTGTGATATCTGCTTTAAATTGAAATTGGGATAATCAATCAATCAACCAACCAATACTCCTGCATGTACTGTGTCCTTTTCTCCTCCACCCACACACTTACTAACAGCAAACTAACTCCTCCCTAGACACCGTTTGGCCCAGGAATTACAGCGGAAACTTGAGGAAGTGGAAGTGAAAACTCGACAATTAGAAGAACGGGGTGTACTTGTCGAGAAAAAACTTAGAGGAGAAATTGTCGATAGTCATGACGAAAGGGATGAATCTGATTTGTTGGAGGAATGGTTCGATCTTATGAGGGATCTCAATGAATTGAGAAGATATGAAAGAGAATTAACTGTTCGAGCTCAAGAATTGGAACTGGAAGATAGACATGCTAGACTTCAGGTGGAATTAAGAGAACGCCTAGAAAGCGGTAAATTGTTCATAAAAATTCTTTTCTCACATTCATATGTTACGGATAATTGAACTTTACTCAACGATATTTTATAGTCATAAATTAACTTGGGTAAACTAAAACTTCTCGCACGTTTAAATGTACATATGTACTTCATAAACTTCTCATACCTAAACAAATCAAAAAAATTAAATGTGCTTTCTTGTAGAAAGTTACATGACGAATTTACCGACGAATTACTTTACCTTGATATCTTGTTATTATTGTAGACTGTGCTTAAACTTGATTCTTCTACATTTACAGAAAATTGTGGTTTACAATTATTTTATTACAACAAAGTTCAATTGATCTGCTATTAAACTGTAACGAATTTAGTCTCTCATTAAATTTCAATTCAAATTAAATATAAAACATACTGCTTTCAGATGAGCATAAAACAAAAGAAGACTTGAAGACTGAGAGCAGTATTATAAACGAAATGATGGACATTGTTGCCAAAAGAGACTCTCTAGTTGTTTTGCTTGAACAAGACAGATTAAGGTGCATCTCTTACAACAAAATACATTCGCCTTCGTCCACTTCGTCTCTGGATGACAATTTTTCTTCTTTTTTGCAACAATACTGTTTTAATTGATCTGTGTTTGTTTTGGGCTTATCTTCCTTTTTTCATAATTGCACGACTGAATTTATTTTCTAACACACTAAATTTATATAAAAATGACTCAACATTGAAACTTAGAATTTCAATATTTAAATGTATGTATCTATAATGTATACTTACAATCTACTTTGATTTGCACATATTCGTACATTTTCCACTTTATTTCTTGCAAACAAGTCGTATGTATTTATGTGTAGTTTAGACAATTACAATTAAAATTATTACGTATGCACACTGCTTTCGAAATTTGCTTTGCTTCTTTTCTATTATTAAAATTTTAATTCATTTTGTTTTTAGGTATTCTGAAGAAAATCGTGATTTTGAAGAACAAATGCTTGCAAGAGGGCTAAAACTAACGTCGATTAATAAATCTACCAAATAATTAGGAAGTAATTGAGCTTCGATGGTTACTTTTTATTGTGATTTTAAATTAAAGGTTGAAGCTTCTTCTTAATAAATGCGGAGGTACTTGAAGAAGTAGCCTATTTTTAAATATTTCAATTTTATTTATATAAAATTCATGAGAGCATTACATAAAGCAGTTCACTAACTAGTCCATTAATTTATAAAAATTGACATCATTATTATTATTATTATTGCTATTATATCAAGCTCTTCTGGATCCTACATTAAAATGTATGAAAACCAAACGCCTAAGTAGAAAATTTATTTTTCTTATAAATTTATAACAAAATATTTTTATGTACAGAAATTTTTTTGTTCTGTGAATGCAGTTACTTAATATTGTACTAATGTAAGTGTGAATAAAATAGAGCTTTTTGTATGATACTCTGTTTATATTATTTTCTGTTCCATCCAAGCATATGTTTTGAATAACTTGTGCTATTCGACAAATGTCTATGCAAGCAGTGAGTTTAAAGGGTGAGAAACGGGTTTAATAAGGCTTTCGTTTCACGTAGGCCTTTTGCTTGTCAGCTTCCTGCCGCTGCAACCTGTGATAAGGAATTTCGTTCCAAAATGAAAAAAATGTTACTACATTTAACAAGAGCTAACAAAAAAAACAATCAAACGCGAATTTCACATTTAAGACATTTACCCCTTACACTATGCGTAAATAATGGAAACAACCTTAAGTTGTCAGTAAATAAAGTGGATGAAGAATAAAACACGCATCACCTTCAACATATGGCGGCCTATCAGAGAGGTTATATGTTCCCCTTCCCCCAACCAAGCGAACCACCATTATAATTGGAGACACTCCACCTAAGCTAATGGAGACTTATAAGCAGCGTCATCTCTATTTTAAGTAGTGATTTACTTAATAACATAGTATAATTACAATTCCATACAGAACTTGGGACAGTTTAAAAAGATTGTGATAAATGGTATATTAGTACTAACCGGATTTAAATCATATTTTATATATCTTCATAATATCCGTCTTAAGGCAAACTAGGTTGATATAGTAGCAAATGAAGTTATTTGATCTTTAATACGGGAGTCGTTTCCGGGACAAGTATTGTTAATACGGAAAACCATTCTCTTACTAGAAATGACTACTAACTTCTCAAAAACTAGGAAAAATTGATAGTGTCTTTAGTTATTTGTAATGAATGTTTAATGAATTAAGAGGTTGTGATTGTTATTAATAATAAAAAATAAAAAGCGTTGAGGGACAAATTTACCTACGCTAGATTTGACAATAACCCGAATATCTTTTTGCAAACGTCTAATAAATATGTATAATAACTTTAGTTTCTTTTTATTGAAAAACTATTTTTCTTCAGAATGAACAATGAATAAACGGTGCGAATTTTACAAATTATTTTTTTTTGCAAGGTATACATATGACAATAAAAAAGAAACCGCATTTTTAAGAATAAAAAGCATTTTAACCGTTTAATAATTGCATTTTTACAATAAATTTTAAACAATATAATTTGGTTATCAATATTTACAATATCTGGTAGTACACATTAAACGTAATTTCCAAGTACATTATCAACTCGAAAAACAAAAGGAGGTGTAGTAGATTAAAACTGATATCTCGCTTATTACACTATTGATGGCTAAAAGCTCTGTACACCAATTAAAATTCGTTTCTTCAAAATTATCACATTACATACAAGGTATTTCTTCACTCTACAAAAATTACCACAATATTTTGCAATCTCTACTGGTCACGATATAAACGTTTTATTTTTTTTGTATTACAATATACGCGTTCGGCTTGATAAAACGTATTTGCAAAGTTACTTAAAGCATTTTTCGAAGTCTTATGTACAAAACAATCCTTAAGTAACATAATTAAATAACTAGTGAGTATTTAAAAATCAGATCGCAGAAAACACAATGACGATTTTTTATATACCCCATTTGTTATGTCTGAAAAAAGAGAATATACTTTGTATAAAAATATTATTCTTCGCGACGTTCCCACAATATTGTAGGATTCTTTAATTTTCTAATCGACAGGCGGTGAAAAAGTTAAAATAAATCAACAAATAAAATATACTTTTTTTGCTGCTCTAATTAGTAATGTGCAACTGTTATTCCCTAGAAATACAAAGAAAGATATAAAAAATGCATTAAACTTAGAAACTGATTAAAATACTGGTGTGCATATTTTAATTTTAATGAACACAATTTTGAAAACAGCAAAATATAAAGAGAGAAAAAAAGATTAAATTTAAATGAATAAATACTCCACCTTTCAGCCATCTAATAATGATTCGCAGCTATTACGTGCTCTGTATTGTCGGCAATTTTCATGGACAATCCTTGCTAATTGTTTCACTTTGAATGGAGGAGCAGGATGATTCATTAGCTCTTCAAGCAATAATAGGCCTCCTTCACTTTCCACTAATGTACAATATTTTTCGGCTATAACACATAATATTGTCTTAATTTCCAAAATGTGAGAATGAGAAAGAAATTAAAATATCTCAGAAACTACTTCGAATTAAGTTGTACAATTAATGGTGTAATTGAAGTCTTCAATAATAATTAAACAAAATTTGACGTCTGATTGTATAAATAATTAGAATATAACAAAATGTGTGCATGTGTACATATAGGATTCTGTCGAGTTTGTGCAGCTGCCATTTCGTTCACAACACATATGATGAGAAAACAACTTAAATTGACATGTTTTTTTTATTTAGTCTGATGCCACTGATCAGAACGAGACTATATCAAAATGTCGACCGGGGAAAAAAATTGCAAACTGTATATTTATGTGTGGACGACTCCTAAGATGACAATAATTAATGGATAACTACTTTTCATTATTTCCTATCATCATAATTCATTTATTACAAAATGTTTATTCTATATTTTTTCATTATATTTTTTTAATTACTTTCTATCTTATATTTTTAAAAATAAACTGACTAATTCATATATATCTACATATAATACCTATTGAAACTCTAAAAATTAAAGTGGCAGCATTGTACTCTAACGGCTGATTGGTTTGACAATTGTCAACTAACATGGATCCTTAATCAAATAAATAAATAGCTGAAGTGACGAACTTTCTGCACAAATGTGACAAGAAATAGTATACGCACTTCGGGAAGTAAGTGGGCTATTACAGACCATGTGTGAATTGGGCAATCACTTGTCTGTGATAGCCCACTTCTTTCCCTTGGTAGGTAATATACTATTTCTTTATAATTTAAAGAGTGAAAGTATTACAAATACTGCTAAGGAATTAATATGAAAATAATTCTTGCTATTAAAATATATAAAAAAAATGAAAAGTCACATTAAATAGACGCAAATACAAAAAAATACATCACATTCCCCTTCACTGCTTTTCTTATGTTTTACTTACGATACACTTTAGTGAGGTTGGCCAAAGCCCAAACAGCCCAGTGTTGACATTCAGGCGTATCATAAACTTTCACCAAGTGTAAGATGGGTTCAAAAGACCTGTAGTTGATATTTCGTTGGGAACCGAGATCCCACCTTTCAATAGCCACTACCATACGTCGAAGTACCATTTCACGAGTTGGATATGTAATAGTCCAAACCTCGGGTCCATCAGAAGCCATATGCGAAAGCACTCCTGCTGCGTTATAACTCACCTCAATTCCGTCGCTATATGAATCTAAGAGGTCAGAAAACACCGAAACATATTCTGGAGTCATCAAATAGTAACGTAGATCTTTTACTTCCGCTACGTTACCCAAGAGGCCCATCATGTTTCGAAGAAGTTCTTCTTTATCCGGAAAACTCTGTATTTTAATATAAATAATAAATTAGAAATGTAATTGTGCATTTCATCAGTACTTACCTCCAAACATCTTAAAAAATACTCCATTCCTTTGTTCTCGAGGAACTTTTTACAATTTGGCGGAGTTTCGTCAGTAACATTCCACATTGTGGACCAAGCAACTTCTAACACATCGTCGCAAACACCTCTTTCTAAACGTTCCGATATTAATGAAATCATTTTCTGAAAAATTGTTTTATTTAAGGAAAGCTACCAAACGTAGTGTAATTGTTACAACTGTTTAAGCATGCAACAAAATGTTTTCCGTTGAACTAGACAACGTTAAAAATACTTGACAAAATTTTACAAGTATTTCAGTTGTTATGCCATGTTAAAGTTTGACTGCTCACATTCAAAATTTTTTTTGCAATCACGTGTAGAGTTCAAAACAAAAAATTCTTACTTATTTTTGATTTTCAAGGTCTCCTGAAGAGGTTAAAAATTGCAAATTTTCAGTTTTAGATTCTCAAAAATTTGTAATTAGAATCAAGAAAAAGTTTGGCAGTGTTGTAGAGCGACTTCAACGACTAACGGAGGTAACTTTGTTGTTACCGAAAAGTAATTCGAACATTTAGGTCATGTTTTGGCATTGGGATTTGAGCTATTTCCGATATCAATTTTGTAATAAAATAACCGAAGAATTTTTTTTATTATTAAACGGCCAAAGAACATAAAAAAATACTCGGATCAAAGGAAATTATTTCATAGTTTAGATAGCATCCCACTACTTTACAGTCTCATAGCAAACCAGTATCGATCAAACCAACCTAACTGTCTTCTTTATAGTGTTTGCTCAATAGAGTTTGACTAAATTAACAACCTTAAATTGTTATTCTTTTTCTTTTGACCTTCTACATCATTTATTTGCTTAATTTTGTCTAAAGACACATTAATTTCAGAATATGTTCTACATCATTGAACTAACTTAGTGTGAAAAGTATCCTCTTCAGCTGTGTGTGATAACCTTAGAGCATAAGTACCTGAAGATACTACTGCATCATTCCTTCTCTTTCTAACGCGGCCTGATTGACACTCCCTTCCCGGCCGCATTTATGTGTTCTTCTTCACGGTCACTACCACAAATTACTTTGTTATATTTGCATTCATTAAAAAATACAAATACAATTGCAGTACAAATTCTTGGTACACTAAAATTAAATTTTATCATAGTTATACAGACAAAACATCCGAATATGTTTACATCTGTACAACTGTGATAAAATTTAATTTTAGTTCACATTCACGCCTTAGTTATTTATATTCAATTGTATTGTCCAAAACAAAGGAGCCGAAACGTAAACACAATAAGGTAAATTGACTAAAATATATAATTGACTCTGCTTAATAAACCGCTTGTCAAAGCAACTCAAATCTTTGTTATGAAACTTATCCATTATTTAAGAGTAATATGCCAAAATCAAGTAATATAATAGGTTAGTTGACTAAATTTGAAAAATTGGTTAAGGCTGTACATTAACATTTTACTCAAAAAATGTGTATTTTTACAAAAATCTAACATTTACCTTACGTATTTTACGTTTTCAAAAATTAAATTTACCTCGAAAACATTCAAACTGTCATGGCGTCTTAAGTGACATCCCGCCGTTCTAAACAGATCGTTTATATGTATCACAGTTGTTAGTTTTATTGAATTAGAAATTAATTCCTCGTATTATAAGTACTGTATAGTGTCCTAGTGTAAAAGCACCACTATAAAAACGCAAAAAAAAGTATTTATACGTATATGTTCCCAAGAATGAACAAATACTGAAAAAGTGGCTAAAACTTGCAAGGAGGCATAATGCTCATTGTTCATCAAAAAATTCAAGGGTTCCATGGCGAATTATACTTAAGTTACAAGATATAATTATAAACAACTATAATAACTTCACATAAATTGCTTAAAACGAAAGATTTGTCAAGTAACTGTTCTAATCAAGGAAAATGTTAACAACTACAATGGTGTTTCACACGGCGTGACGTCACAGTCTCTGATTGGTTTTGACTGTCACATGACTAAATACCTTATTTTCCGATTTTATTGACTAAAAATATTATTAATCTTTACTTTTCGTCTTATATCGTGATTAATCATTAGAAACTCTAATTCATTCGAATTCTTGGTAGAAAAAAGCCTATTATAATTCTTGTTTTCCCTCGATGTTTTTGTAGTCTTGTGTAAGTACATACATCTGTATGAACAGATACAAAAGATGAACTGTCTCTAAGTATTTATGCTCTAAGGTAATAACACACAAACTTTTTTATATGGTATTTCTTTTACGAAATTGCATTTTGCATGAGTTGCCTCGCCCTTTATACCCTACATTGTAATTTAGTTTAAATTCGTTACAGAACCCTATCATAGGCAGGTCTGAAAGACGCATGATTTTTTTTTGTTTTGATAGAAGTGCAATACTTTTGGCATATATAATAGCTTTTTTGTATAATTTCTAGTCTAATATGAAAAGTGAAGCATACATTTATCGCTCCTAATTCTCCCAGTTTGACTTTTTGCTGTCCATCAACTTGACATGCTAAGGAATTCAATAGGTAAATCCCTATTCGCTGAACAAAACTTTCTGGTTGCATTCCATGAACAGAATGTAACAAAATCTCAACTAGTCGTTCATATTCAAAAACCTAAAGGAAGATAGTTAAGAGTAGATTATTTATCTAAACAAAAATACTTACAACATCTTGCGGTATTTTAAATTGGCAAAGGGTAAGACAACCATTTCTCATCATTGTATCATCCAACCTATGGGAAAACATTCCATTTAACAGGGTGGTAATTATTCTTCTTTTAATTCTGACGACGTCATGCAATTCTTTTCCTGCCCCTTTTACTATATAAAATAAAGTTGCACTGAAATAAAATAAATGGAACTCACATTAAATTCTAAAAAACTTCTTTTTTAATATTAATTCCAAAAATTACAACAAATAATTTCGCTTTACTCAACCAACCTTCCAGATATCTGTATATGTCTTTCTGATAAGTGACGATCCATTGCTTCTAAAACAATATTTAAAGCTTGTCCCACATGCTGACATGTTTCGAAACGGAACAAATGAAAAAGTTCGTTCAAGACATTTTGCAACATTTCAGGTCGGTCTATATAAGCATGTGCTGCTATCATTACTTGCTCTTCGTTAGCATTACCAGACACCTGCAATAAAATAGAATTTTGTCAGAATTTATTTTTTGTGTACCAAAAAATTACTTTTAAAATAGGTACTACACTCCATATGCTCGCCCATAAATAAATAAGCCATATTTTTAAAATAAAAAGTTTGCAATCAATTCCGTAATGAGAAAGGATTGCTCTAATAAATTTAACTCCCGTACTTTACATATATTCTTATTATTAATCACATATTAAGTGTAAGTACATTTAAAATAAACTATTGCAAATGATTTTTAAAACTATATTAAGCAACAAAAAATAGTCGGGAAAATTGGTTTATTTGGCAATAAAATTTCCAACCAAAAGACTCTTCAATAATTTGTTTAGAAAATAGACTAGGGAAAAATAAAACTTAAAATTGGTGCTATCAAATAATAATATTTACTGAGTAAAAAGACAATAATAAAAATTACCAATTTAGCTGGAATGTCATGTCTTAAACATGCATCATACAATGTGTTGTATAATCCTAGGAATTGAAACGGATTTCGTACTCTGCTTTCTAATCCTGGGATATCCGAAGCAAGCACAGTATCCGACACACATTCTCGTAGTTGAGCAACCCCATTTCCAGCCAAATTTGTTCCTGATATATCCAGTGATGTTAGCTTTGGTAAATTTTCCACTAAAGTGGTAAGCAACTGTGTAGCATTTTCGTATTTTTTGTTTTCTTCTTTAGAGTTGGATATATCCAGATGTTTTAAACTTTTTAATTTACATATTGTTGGGATCATTTGTTCTATTCTGTCCACATTGTAAAGTGTTAAAGATGTTAAATTTACTAAGTGTTCTGTGTAAGACAGGTCTGCTAAATCACTGCAACCTGACAAATCTAATTGGGTCAAATTTTCTAGAGGTTTTAACAGAAGCATATAAAATTCTGGATGGAGTCTTTCCACATTCTTTATTGCAAGTTTCCTCAAATTATGAGCAAGAATTATATAACCTTTTTTATAGTATTCACTATCTAGTATTGTTAAACGAAAAATATCCTTAGGAAATATGTTTACATCATCACCTATTATTAACGATTGCAATTTGTTTCCATAAGCTGTTATATATTTTAAACAACCTATATTAAGTTCAGAACAATGCTTCAATTGTAATTCAATTAGTCTATGTTGTAGTAAAATTTTTAAATTTTTATCATTTATACTACAATATCTTAATTTTACTCTTCTTAGTCTTGTTGCTTGTCTGTCCTTAAATATATTCACCAAACTTGATATACGAGACTTGCTTTTCTTTAAGCATCCTGCCAGCAGTTTTTCACATATTTCTAAAGGTAATGCTATTCCGTCTTTTAATTTTAAATTATCCGAAAAAGGTTCATATTCACAGATTGTGTCCAAATTTTTAATAATGAATTCTAAACAAATATCAAGTAATGGTTCAGGTGCTGCATCGTTACACAGTAAGCAAGACTGGGCCGACAGAGGCTTCGAATGCTTACACCCTCTTGATTGCAACATTTAGAGAATTAAATATTGCAATAAAAATTCTAAAAGTGACAATTCTTTCATTTAAGCACCGATTTATATGGCCTTTTTTAATTGGGTAAAATAGTCTTATTCCATCTGTCGTATGACTCTCCAGAGATTTTATAATATAACCAAAAAAGAATTCACTTTATAACATTAGTCTTTATATTTTTATATTTGATGTAAATTTTTTAGAAATTTCCAGATGTTCACATAAAATCACAAAACTATTTTTGTTATGAATAAGTAAACTTTTGACATCTGAGCTACCCACAATTCAATGCGTAATACCTCTAATCTATGCGTAATACAGTATCCATAGACAAACAGTATCTTCAGCCCATAGACATACATTAATGGACGTCATAGACATATATTAATGGACGTGCCTTAGCCGTATGTCGTTGTAATAATTTCTTGGCCCGAAAAGTGAGAGAGATGGGGTATGGTTTCGGACTAGTGCTATCTCTTTCATGACACGCGTACGCACATCATGAGAGAGATGGATATTGTCCGAAACTTCGTTCCATCTCTTTCTTTTGTTGTACCATAATTCTTACCGCTACGGCATGTCCATTAGTAAACGTCGATGCTTCAGCCATTATTATTATTACAAATTTGTCTTGGTCACTGTTCTCCTCACTTTTAATAATTTGTATTTAATCAATGACATAGATCTATAATTTGTTTAAACAAGGCAATTCAGATCAGATCAGATCATAACAATCTATGATCGTAAGGATCTGTCTGTGATAACTATCCAATATTTGTCTATGTCCATAGGTCTATGTCTATATCCTACGAAGCCATCAAATAAGTATTAAGCAAAATGAGAAAATAAGTTATCCTTAATAGAATCACAGTAGAATCAGGTAGAATTAAAACTAATGCCGTTTTTTACAGTACTCTACAGCAATTCTGCAATGCTATATAATATAATAATAATACTGTAATATCGTAATGGTATAATATTCCACGTTCATCAAGTGCAAGTATTAATGTAAGATAAAAGTGTAAAATATTGTCTTACTAAAGTTAAAATAAGTTTTATTCATTGATCTGCACTTGCTCTGGGTAATTATTAATAATAATCATATACTAATATATGTATATATTTAAAATAGGAGAAAAGCTTGTAGCATGGCATACAAAGCAAGGTAAAATATATAAAGCAATTTCATTTTTCACAACCTGTACTCATTTTATATATTTAGACTCCGAGGGTTTGATGATATACTGCAAAATGACATAATTGATATAAAGAAATTGAAAGAGCTTGCATTTAATGGTAGGTGAGATATAAAGCATGATTAGTTATTTATGAAGATTGAAGAATGTATTTGCATGATAAATTTATAGGGATTCCTGATGATCAAGGAAAAAGAGCTATATGTTGGAGGCTTTTGTTAAATTATCTTCCCCCTGAAAGAGCAAGCTGGACAGCATTTTTAGCTCAAAAAAGAGAGCTGTACAATCATTTTATCGGTAAATTTAAAAAAACAAAAGTAACGTATCATTTTCACTTATGTTATTTTTAAGATGAAATGATTATTATACCTGGAAGTCAGTGTTCTGAAGGAGATCATCCTTTAAGTCTAAATCCTGATAGTATGTGGCAAACGTTTTTTAAAGATAATGAAGTCCTACTGCAAATTGATAAAGATGTAAGAAGGTTATGTCCGGACATTTCATTTTTTCAACAACCAACTGACTTTCCTTGCAGTCAAATTGTTAATAGTATGGATGCAAAGAGGCTTCACAGACGAGTAGAGTTTAGTGTTCTTAAAAGTGCAAATGTTGAAAGAAAAGGATTAGGAATTACAAAGGTAAGTAAACAATAAGTTTTGTTAACCAATAATGGTTTAAAGGTGTGACTATTTGTCACATATGAAACACGAGCATAGGTCATGGTAAAAGCGTCAGTCATTTCGTTCGTGTTATCTTTTTCTACCATAACCTTATGATCCTAATAAGTTGATAAAAAAAATAGTTCGGTTATGTTACAGTAGAAAAAGACAACAAGAACGAAGTGAGTTGTTCTCTACTATCAGGCATTATGATGTATGTCCTCCTAGCAACCAGTAACGGCCACGGTTTTGGAAACGTAAAAATGAGGCCCGTGAAATCCGTGTATTATAAGTGACAACATGGGTAAAATGGTAAATTGAATCTTTAATATTTTCCCATAGCCGTGTCTGGCGAATAGTCACACTGTTTTTTTTTAATTTGAAAATATTTAAAAAAAATAAAAATTTTACTGCCTTCTGAAGAGTAGCAGGTAAGTTTTTTATATTCCAATATACTTCAAAGTAGGTATTTTTTATAGTAGTAGCCTTTCTTAGGTCAAAATAAGTCAATTAAAACATAAACATTTAAATAGACATTTCATGTGCTACTAATCAATATTTAAATGCATAAGCTAAATAAAAACTGGAAATATAACTTTTTTCGTTTGTGTTGTTTCTCATTATTTAAAAGGTGTACTTTTCTTAACAAGTCATTGGGACATAAGTTATTCTTAGATAGCCCTGTCGTTGAAAAAAGCTAACGAAGATTACGCACCAATGGCAGAAGGCGAAGAGGCTCATTGGGAGGTGGTAGAAAGAATTCTATTCCTATATGCAAAATTGAATCCAGGTCAAAGTTATGTGCAAGGAATGAATGAAATATTAGGCCCAATTTACTATGCTTTTGCATCAGATCCTGATCCCAACTACAGAGGTATGTAATTTAATAAAGAGTGTCAATTAAAAATACATTATAGAGATTTAGTAAATTTTGCAGACAAATAACAAATGCACGATTTAAGAACAAGCTTTTAAAGTAAAATGAAGGAGTTAGTTTTGTATAGCAGAATATTTATAATTCAATGTTTTTAATTTGTTAAAGTCTATTGTATTTTAATGAAGCCATTTGAAAATGCATTTAATCAAATGTGCTCTCTAAAAAGTATATAAACACTATTTAATTTGTAATTTTTGGTCAGTATTTATTGTATTAGATTTTAAATTCTGTGATGAACCTGTGAATTTCAGTACCAGGTATTAATTTTAATTGTTGTGTGTTTATTTGCACCACATTTGATTGTGGAAAAATATTAAGTTACTATATTTTTTGTAGAGTATGCCGAAGCTGATAGTTTTTTCTGTTTCACAAATCTAATGTCAGAAATAAGAGACTTTTTCATAAAAAGTTTAGATGAAACGGACTGTGGTATAAATAGCATGATGTCTCGATTATTAGTTCAACTTAAAAACAGCGATTTGGATATTTGGCTAAAGTTTCAACAACTTGAATTAAGGCCTCAATACTATAGTTTCAGATGGTTAACGTTACTTTTATCTCAAGAATTCCCTTTACCGGACGTTTTAAGAATTTGGGATTCACTATTTTCTGATGAAAATAGGTTCGATTTTCTCATTTACATTTGCTGTGCCATGATAATGTACGTAAATTATTATTTATTTATTAACTTTTTAAATTATATTCTTTCAGCATTTTGAGAAATCAACTTCTTTCTGGAGATTTCCCTAGTTGTTTAAAATTACTCCAGAATTTTCCTCCAATGGACATACAAATCATTTTAAATAAGGCCGTCGAACTTTCAAAACAGAAAGTATGATGTATATTATCAGTTACTATAATACTTTTCATATGTTAAGGATAAAATTAAAAAAATAATACAGCTGAGTAAATTAAGTTTGTACTTTCATATGTCCTTTTATTGCAAATATATGTTTAAAGGTAAAAAGTAATTTTATTTATCTTTACACTTGTAACTTTTGATTATTATTATTTTCGTGAAAATCTTTGGCAAATGTTTCACCAACTATTAGAGGAAAAACAAGAGTTGCTTCAGCATATATCTTCACGGGACTCGCTTCTTTTTTTATTTTTCCCCACGACTTTGCTTCATCTGGCCTTGCCCCAGCATCACTACCATCAAATTCTGATGCTGTATTTATAAATACTGAATAATCTGCTCCATTTCTCTATAAAAACTGATATTATAAAACAAAGCGGTTTTTAAATAATGCGTTTACCATTAAATTAGCATTACATATATGGTGTTTTACAACCCCTCCTCCAATTATTATCATTCCAGTATGTTTAGCGTTGATAGCCATCATATTAAGACGTTTCAAATCTGAAAAGTATAATGTAAATGTTAATTATACTTATATACAACATTTGAACAGCTGCAAAATACTGAGATGCTATACAAGAGGGTCATAATTCCCTTCAGACCCCCAAATTTAAAAACTTACTGAAGTTATTCTGAATACCCGAACCGTTAATATTTAAGATGTTTAGATAAATACTGACTGAATTTAAACGAACTTCTATTAGAGTACTTCATTTTAGATGAACATTGCATTGAAAAAACTCAAAATTTTAACCTTTTATTTTAATTTTAAACCGTATTTTATTGTATAACCTTACAGACTCTCAGCAAATGCTTAACTGGCCGAAACTACACTTATTTCAAAGAAGATCCATTAAGCGTATACAAAGGAAAAAAAATAAAAATATTTTTTGTATTTGTTAATTTTTTCAAAAAGTCCTGAACAATTTCGCTAAAATTTATATAGGAACACTTCTAAAGTATTACCTACCAAACAAAAAAACAATCACCAAAATCAATTCATAATAGGCGAAATAATCGCGTAACGAACCGAGAGCTTTCTCCTTTTTGAAGTCGATTAAATAGGATCAAGTACAGTACAAACGACGCTCGCGGTTATCCGCTTTTCCGATAAAGATTTAGATCCAACAGGGGGTAAGTTCTATGTAAGGTGTATTCAAATTATATTCTTTAATCTCGGCAAAGATCCTTCAAAGATTTATCTCTTTATTCTCCATTATTGGAAAAGCTGACAACCCTGAAACTTATTTGTTATGGTAAAGGTACTACTTAAGTTGTTACAGTGCAATAAATACATACATAGACTACCCTTACTGATTTCTTTATTAATAAGTTTAGGACTTCCTAAACTACAAAAAGTTACCTGAGATTATATCAATAATAAGTCCAGGATTTTTAAATGAATGGAAAAATATCATATCTCCCAAACTTCCATCAGTTAAAGCAGGGCAGAACACTGGGATTTTATTTTTAGCAGCCCAATAATAAATACTTTCTTCATTATTAATTTTTTCACCTAACTTTGCTATAATTGTGCTTGGTGACCAAACAATTCTGTTTTCCATTTGTTCTTTAACCATTTCATCTAAAATTGGCAAAACCCAATCTTCAAATTTACAATAATTGTTGTTTGGTACTAATAAATTGCCAATTCTGTTGATTCCCTTTTCTCTAAGCATAACACCATCTAAATTAAAATCACCAATGAATGTTGGAGCTAAACATTTTATAAAATCTTCCTCAATGCCACCAGCCGTGGTAACTAAACAATCAATCTGTAATACTTTAAGCTATATAATTTTCAGTACTAAAGAATATGAAAATTATTTACCATTTTATTTTTTATTAGAAATTTTAATGTTTCTCGCAATCCACTTGAAACAATGTTGGAAGTGTACCCCAAAAATAAGGTACAGTTATTTGTTATTGCAATAAAAGGGTCTTCTTCATTGATGCAAGTATCAGAAGGAAGTGGTTCTTTTCTACATTGTATCATTTTATTAATTTCTTCAATAGCTAAACCTAAATTTGTTGATTGAAAACCACAGTTTATGTATGATTTCAGTATTGAGCGGTAATCAACTCCTTTTTCCCATTCATCGTAACCTTTTACGATTGTTTTTAAATCTGTAAAATCACAAGATTTAACCAAAACTGATGTTTTGGCGATTTCAGGAACCTTATTTGACATGGTAGCTTTAAACTGTACAAATAAAAATATTAATTAAAATGACCATAAAATCATTTGCAAAATATATTTCTGATAACTAGTACCATAAAAATGTTTTAAGGAAGAAATAAAGAAAAACGAAAAGTATTATTTAAAAAAGCCATCGAAGAGAAAACACAGCACGGAAATATGGTTATGACCATAGATAATAGATATACAAAGGGTAATAACATTATCTATGTGCATAGACAAGAGCATAGATAAGACAAGAGTATGACCACCATTGAAGTGAAAGGGAACACTGGGATGAGCTCGCTTATGGGAAGCTGTTGAGAAAGATGATCCCAAGTGTTAGACGAGGTCAGACGCTGTGGGGTGGTTATCTGTCTGCGTCGTAAATAAAGGTGTTATTTAGGTTGTGTTGTTAATTTTGTTGGTTTTTTAAAGTAATTAGTTGAAATGGTTAAATATTGTTGTGCATATAGGTGCACAAATGAATGGAGATCCAATGAAACCATAAAATTCCATAAATAAGTATTAATTAGAGATTAAAACAATGAAATTAACA